AAGCATTGTTAGGTTTTTTTGCTTTAAATTTCTGCTCTACAATCCTAATTTTCTACAGAAAGGATTAACTCAATCACTCGCTTCCAATATATGTGTATTTGCACCTTGGAGTTGAAGATTCAAGTTATTTAATTTCTCGAATATGTGGCTCAAGCAGCTCAATGTTCATCACTAATAAACCATCCAAAAATTTCTCGGCTTCCGGTCTGTTTTCTTCGTCTAGTAAAATATAAATTTCTTCTCTTAATTCATAAACACATTACTAAGATTTCCCACGTGATAACCAACTTGCCTCGCAATAAAATAGTAACGCTGAATGTACAGAATTCATGTCTTCACAAAGTGCGGAAAAGATTCACACAATATTCAGACCAGGACTCATTTCTTTCGAAGCCAATGCTTCTCTGTGGATTATGCAATGTGTCCAGACGCACTGAGGCGATCTTTGCTTTACAAGTGCATGCTTACTTTGGAATCTTCCTAAGATTGAACGAGCACCATCTGTGCACATTTCGATGCAATTTTTCCATTCTGTGTTGCCCTTATTCTTAAAATCATTTAAAATAGCAAATAATAAGAACGCTGTTGTTTTGAGTTTTATTGGTTTGCGGAAAAGTAGTTTTTCTACTACTGACATATTATCACGAAATCGAACGTAGGCAATTAAGTGAGTTTCTTTATTACCACCTGTTGCTTCATCAAGCTGTATTGAAAACAATTTGTCACTCAATTTCGAGAAATGCTGATACTTTACATCTTCAGCTATATCACATTCGACGCGCAACAGTATCATCTGATGGAAGTAAGGACAGCAATTGTTTTGAAAATTCATCTCCATACATAGTTTCTACTATCTAAATTGCTGCTGGCGAAATCAGCACTTCACCAATAATGTGAGGTTTTTTACATCTTTCTATTTTATATGAAACTTTGTAAGATGCAATTAAATCTTTTTTATTCACAGACTAAGTTTCTTTAAAAAATGATTTTTGCTTTTTAAATTATTTTAATTTTAATTCGAAGAATTTTCCGGGTTTTTTGACGTACTCACTATGAAGTGTTTCAAAATGCCGTATAAGTTTATTAGGTTTCATGCTGTCAGCGGCCAACACTTTTAAGCAAATGATGCACAGGGGCCTTTCTTCTTCACTTATTTCAGTACCCACGCCCAAAGTTTAAGTATTATTAAGAATACTAGTGGGCTGCGCCCCCTGCTCGCTAACGCTCGCCAACCCCCGAAAATTGCTACGCAATCTTGAATGGTTTGCTTCGCTCGCTACTAACTTAGGTTTATTGCAAATGCACAAAATTCTAAGAATTCAAAACAATCAGTCAAATCAATATAAAAACTTTTTTTTAAAAAA